TGCCGCTGGCGGTCCGACTGACAGTGCTCCTGGTGCTGCTGCTGGAGGCTCTAGAGCTTCTGGAGGTGCTGCTGGAGGTGCTGCTGGAGTGGGTGCTCCTGCTGGGGGTACTGGTGCTGTTCCTGCTGTTTCTGGCGTCGCCGCGCGGCCCCTACCGTACTTCGTTCCGCTCCTGAAGCAGGTTCTTGGTCTTACTCCTCCTCCTCCCTTAGAGGGTCCACAGCCTGTCCAGTCACAGCCACAGCTACAGCCTGCCTCCCCTTTGCCTGCTCCTTCTCCCTACGGTGGTCCGACTGGAGGTCCTACTGAGCGTCGTGAGCCTGCGTCTCGTCCTGCGTCGCCTGTTCGTACTGAGCGCGCTAGTGGTCGCGGGTCGCGTCAGCGTCCTCCTCCTGTCCCTGGCACGCACCGAATGTCAGTGCGTCCGTCCACTGCTCCTCTGCGTGCCCCTTTGCCTTCTCCTACTTCCTGCTCTTGCCGACCCGGAGTCGGACTCTCTTCGTGCTGCCAGTCCTACTGTCACGCGTCTCCTTGCTACTGCTATCACTGACCCTTCCTTCGAGTCGTCAGCTGCGTCTGCCCTTGTCACTGAGCTTGTCGACTTTGCTGCGCGCTGTCGTCTAGACTACGCTGCCAGTCTTGTCGCTGAGTGTGAGTCTACCTGTCCTCTGTCCGTCGGGGGTGAGTCTGCCCTTGGCACGGACGTCCTTGAGGACAGGCAGGAGGAGTTCCAGTGTCTGGCCGCCGCTTCACCTCATCTCGCGTCTGTACTGCTAGCCCCTGAGGGAGACCCGGATGCACCAGACATCCCGACTCCGCGCTCTTACGCGGAGGCGATAGAGGGTCCCTACTCCTCTCAGTGGCAGGCAGCTATGGATGCAGAGATGGCTTCCTTGAAGTCCACAGGCACCTACGTCGACGCTGTTCCCCCTCCTGGGGCGAACATCGTCAGTGGCATGTGGATTTTCAGGGTGAAGCGGCCGCCGGGTTCTCCGCCTATCTTCAAGGCGCGTTACGTGGCTCGTGGCTTCAGTCAGCGGCAGGGAGTTGACTACTTTCAGACCTTCTCCCCCACCCCGAAGATGACCACTCTTCGGGTTCTGCTGCACGTTGCTGCTCACCGTGACTACGAGCTGCACTCTCTCGACTTCAGCACAGCTTTCTTGCAGGGCAGCCTGCACGAGGAGATCTGGCTGCGTCGCCCACCTGGCTTCACTGGGTCTTTCCCTCCTGGTACCCAGAGGAGTCTCCGGCGTCCAGTCTACGGTCTCCGCCAGGCGCCACGTGAGTGGCACGACACACTGAGGACTACGCTCGCGGCACTTGGGTTTGCTCCCTCTACTGCCGACCCGTCGCTGTTTCTGCGCACCGACACCTCTCTGCCGCCGTTCTACATCCTCGTGTAAGTCGACGACTTGGTCTTTGCCACAGCTGACACTGCTGGACTCGCCTACGTGAAGTCCGAGCTGCAGAAGAGACACACGTCCACTAACCTGGGTGAACTGCGTAGCTACCTTGGCTTGCAGATCACCCGGGACAGAGCACGCTGCACCATTACCCTGACTCAGTCACACATGGTGCAGCAGGTCCTTCAGCGCTTCGGCTTCACGTACTCCTCGCCTCAGGCCACTCCTCTGCCTACTCGCCACTCGCTCTCAGCTCTGCCTTCGGATGAGTCCGTAGAGTCGAGTGGCCCGTTTGCAGAGCTTGTTGGCTGCCTCATGTACCTGATGACCTGCACACGACCTGACCTTGCATACCCTCTTAGCATTCTCGCACGCTATGTTGCTCCTGGGAGACACCGACCAGAGCACATGGCTGCAGCGAAGAGGGTGTTGCGCTACTTGTGCAGTACGTCGGGCATGGGGCTAGTGCTTGGAGGGCGCAGTCCAGTGGTCCTCACTGGGCACGCAGACGCTTCTTGGGCTGACGACCAGGCTACTCAGCGGTCGTCACAGGGTTACACCTTCAGCCTTGGTTCCGGCTCTGTCTCGTGGCGGGCTACCCGCTCGTCTTCTGTTCTCGGCTCCAGTTGTGAGGCTGAGATCTACGCTGGGGCTATGGCTGCACAGGAGTTACGCTGGCTCACCTACCTTCTGACCGACCTTGGAGAGCAGCCTCGTTCTCCTCCAGTCCTGTACGTAGACAACAAGGCCATGCTGGCCTTGTGTCGAGAGCAGCGACTGGAGCACAGGACGAAGCACATTGCTCTCCGCTACTTTCTTGCTCGTGAGCTGCAGCAGCGTGGATAGTTGCGACTTGCGTACGTGGCCTCTGAGGCCAACACTGCTGATATCTTCACCAAGGCACTTGCGCCTTGTGATCATCAGTGTTGTTGCACGCAGTTGGGTCTTGTGCCTGTCTTGCCTCACTTGCTCATTTCTTGACCTTGCTTGTACCTTCACCTATATATACTCTTGCTCTTGCTTATTTGACTCTTGTATATCTTTATATATGATCTTGCATGTGAACTGGCCTTCTGGCCTTTGAACTTGTGCTCGGAATGTGTGGTGACTTTGTGATCCACCCTGAGCTTTGCTTTGCTTTGCTTGACTGGTCTTGTGACCCCTTGTTCTCCCCCACTTTGCCTATGGGGGTGTGTCAGAACATTATAACTTATATATTTGTGTAGGCTATAGTGGGGTATCCCATAGGGGGTACAACCCAGGGTTTCCCATATGTACTCACTTCATTCATAGCTCACTCATTCTAGTTCACTTATTCACAACTCCCTCCCCTGCTCTGCTCCTCGACGCCTCAGCTCCTCCGGACATTCGCTCTTGCGATGGCCCGGCCGATTGCAAGCAAAGCAGCGCCCTCTAAACGGCGCGGCAGCTGCATTCGCTGCGACGGCATGTACAGTGGCGTGCTCGGTCGGTCCCCGAGGACGATGTGCGTAATAGGACCCCGGTCTCGGTCGGCGTAGGATATCGATTTTCTCGGCGAGCGCGAGGATCTCGTTGAAATTCGAGAGCCCGCGTAGCATTATCTCGTGCGAGATGTCCGGCTTTAGCCCTCCGGCGTAACGGTCCACCCGCTCCGCCTCGTGCATGTAGCCGACCTGTTCGCAAAGTGCGAGAAACCCGCTGGTGTAGTCTTGAACTGACCCGAGCTGGCGCCAAGTGCGCAGTTTCTGACGCGCCGAAATCGAGGCCGCGATCGGCTCAAAGCGCACCCAAAGCCCTGCGCACCACGCATCCCACGTGCTGTATTGGGCGGTTTCGCAGAACGAACTCCAGGTAACAGCTGGACCCGAGGGCCCTTCCTCGTGCGACGGTGGCTTGTAGGCGCGCGGCGACGTCACAATGTCTCGCCACCAGTCCATGGCGGGGCCCCTGAGTAGTGAAACCGCATACCGGATCTTGGCGGCGTCCGACTTGACGTAGTTGGCGTCGAAAAACACATTCATCGTGAAGACCCACGATTGAACTGTCGGGCCGCCGCGTTGGCTTGGGTCGAAGCAGGGCGAGCGTTGCGGCTTAAGTGGCATTGGGGCCATCATGGCGTTCTCGCCACTTGTCGCCGCAAACTCCACGTGCCGACGGGCTTCTCGGGGCTCCCGTGGGCTTAATGCGCTCCTGTTTCCTCCCATGCCGGGCATCGGTTGGGCTGCGCCGTCACTGGCTGCGCCTGAGCGCTGTCCCGTGCTGTTGTGTTGCGTTGGTGTGCCGGATGAGATGACGATGGGCTCCTCCGAATGTGCAGATGCATTGGTTGGTGCGTGTGATGTCGTCGGTACGTTCACTGTTGACTGTTGACGGGCGGAGTCACGTTCCGCCGTGAGAGTCGCGATTTCGAGCGCCGAATCCTCCAATTGACGCACGAGACGATCGAGTTGCTCCTGCGTCAACGTGGCGAGATTGAAATCGGCCATGGCGGGGGTGTCGGGCAAGCTCAGCGAGAGCCTCGGTCGTGGCCGTGCGTGCTTTCGAGAGAGCACTACAAGCGGCGGTGCTGTGTCGCTGAGAGACGTCTACCCCCCCCAAAAATTGAGATAGTGGGAAGCGAAGGTGTGGATGCGGTCCGAGATGAGATCGTAGGCTCTGAATACCAAGTATTACGAGTGCAATTGAGTGGATGAACGAGAATTGCACTATCGAAGCAAGAATACAAATGAGCGAAGGCATGAGCGAACATTATATAGCGAAACTACAGTGGTAACGGTAATGGTCGCGCGACGAGCCTGGGACTGAGGTTGGGAAAGTGTCGAAGCGTAGGTCCGGAGCGCGGGTTACCAGCCGAGCCGTGAGGTCGGGATGCGATGTGCGAAAAGGGCGGGATGATGAATGATGCGATGGTCGCGAGTGGTAACGGTGCTGACTGAGGTGCTACAGTGATGTACGCGTTGAGCAGGGACGCGAAGTAAGGATAAGGGAATTTCCTTACAGTTTTACAGTAAAAACTGTTAGTTGTGCGGTTCAAAGTGGTTGCGAGAGAACGACTCCAATTGCAGAGGATCCCGCTCAACCACTGACGTGTACCTGCGAAAATGAACCGTCAATTTAGACGATATTCGATATACATTTGCCTCGATATGCATACGAACCCTGAAATTCCAAAAGCCAATCATGCATTTCACTGTTCCTTTTCGATCACACCCATTCTCTTATCTTTCTGCCATTAGCAATTCACTGCTGGATTTGCTGCCGAGTTTAGTTTTGCGACACCTTCGTGAGCCTTCCCAGGACTCACCTGAGAGATATCCCGACAGATTCCGTTTCCGCAATCCACTTCGCCGTCTGATTCGTGTGCTCTCCCGTCAAGAAGGGAGGTTCCTCGTGAGCGATCCCGATGGGGCGGCAGAAGGGCGGCGATGCGGCGCGATCCAAGAATCGACCAGCCAGCAGCAGGTGCGCCGCAACCTCAGCTAATGCGAGTGCGTGTGTCACGAGCGCACCGTTGGGTGCCGGTTGCGCTAGAAACCAAGGAGGCTGTGTGCGCGTGCTTTCACTTCAGTAAGGGCCACGGACGATGGCCCGAAACACGCGTAGTGAATCGAGATGGTTGCCACGTGTTCCGATGTCTCTGCGGCTTGTCAGGCCCCAGTGTGGGCGTTTGAAATCAGGAAGTTTCGGCCGGCGTGGTTGCGTGTTTGCTAGGTGTAATTCCGTGCAGCTTGGATCCGCACGGTGATCGTCGTATTTCATACCGCGTCGCGGATCGCCGATTCACATTCCGGGGCAAGCAGAACGGAACGCCTGAAACGACGACGCCATCCGCCCTTCTCCCCCCTCCCTGTCTCCTCCCCCCTCCTGCCCCCTTTTTCACACACTTCTCTCCCCGCTGCCCTTCCACCCCACCGTCCCGTCCGCTGCCCATTCACACGCCGGCGGCGACCCTCCCAGCGCCCTCCTCATGCCATCCTTGGCGCCGCTTCTGCTTCCGCAATTCCCTCATACCCCCTCCCCCTCCTCATTCACCATCCCCTCTCCCCCAACCCCCGTCCCCCCTCTTCCCCCATATCTTCCGCAGCCTGGCCGCCTCGCTGCTGGCAGCAGGCGCAGGCAGCGCGGCAGGCGGAGCTGGAAGCGCCCCCCGCCCAGTGGGGTTCGGGGGATACGTGGGCAGTGCGCGGGTGCAGACAGCAGCCGCGGGGGCGGCTGGAGGGGGAAGGGAGAGCGCGGAGGGCGGGGCAGACGGAGGGCGGGAGGGGCAAGGGGGGGCAGCGGAGGCTTCTGCAGGCAGCGGGCCTAAGGAGCTGGTCATTGGGGCGGTGAGAGCTGGGGGGGGGGAGGGGGGAAACAGGGAGAAGAGGGGTTGTGCAGTGTTGCATGCACAGCTTTCATGCGCCGCAAGCCTGTAAACCTCTTTGCCGTTTCCCGTTCACCACTCCCCCCCACCAATCAGTACCCCTCGCCACCCTGCCCCTCTACTGTGCGGTGATGAGCAGGACGTGAGCGGCGAGGCAGCGGCGCATCTGAGGCGGCTGGCGAAGAAAGACGCCACCACCAAGGTGAGTGGCAAAGAAAGACGCCACCACCAAGGTGAGTGGGTGCAGCATGGGGAGTGGCAGGCACAACGGGAGCAGCAGGAGCAAGGCGAGCGTTGCAGACAGACAACAGGCACTTGGGGTGGGAGCAGGCGGGTGGGCTGTGATAGTGCTCAGTTGGATTTGCGAGTGCAAGCAGTGGTGCCATTATGAATGGACATGCAGAGAAGAGTGGCTCTTCACACGCACTTTCATGTGCACTCCTGATGTGCCTTCCCTTTGCTGATCTTCCCCCAATCCTGCCGCCTCTGCTCTTCTCCATCCCACCAACACCACTCCCCTTTCTCACACCTCTCCTCCCACTCCCTCCACTCTGTACCACGTCCCTCCACGTCCCTCGGTGACCCCTCCCCCCAGCTGAAGGCGCTGGAAGCGCTTCAGGGGGTGCTGGGCGGCAGCACAGCCGCCCAGATGCAAGCCATGCTGCCTGCTTGGGTGAGAAATGATACAGCGCCATGCCATGCTGTCGTATGCCATTCGATGCCATGTGGTGTGGTGTTGCGCCACGCCATGCCATGCCATGTGCCGGCACTGGTGAAATGCGATTCAGCTTGCCACTCAGCATGCATCCTGCTCTTCCCTCACTGCTACTGCCTTCCTCCTCCTTCACCTTTCCCTCTTCTCTTCCCATCTCTTTGTTTCTCTTCCCGCGCCGTCGTCTCCACATGGCGTGCACTGACAGGCGTTTGAGTACCGGCGGCTGGTGGTGGACGGCAGCAGGGCTGTGCGCCTCGCCACACACGCCACCATGACCCTGCTCGTCAAGGCCGTGGGGTGAGTCCATGCTCGTCAAGGCCGTGGGGTGAGTGGGTCAACTCGAGTCAAGGGCGTGGGGTGAGTGGGTCAACTCGAGTCAAGGGCGTGGGGTGAGTGGGTCAACTCGAGTCAAGGGCGTGGGGTGAGTGGTCAACTCGAGTCAAGGGCGTGGGGTGAGTGGGTCAACTCGAGTCAAGGGCGTGGGGTGAGTGGGTCAACTCGAGTCGAGGGCGTGGGGTGAGTGGGTCAACTCGAGTCAAGGGCGTGGGGTGAGTGGGTCAACTCGAGTCAAGGGTGTAGGGTGAGTTGGTGTGGCAGATAGTAGTTTCGAATGTCAACATAATTCAGTGTGATGCGTCACATGCACCATGTCTCACTCCCTCATGATGTCACTGCTGCCTCTTCTCTCTCCTTCCAGATTAATGTTCATTCGCTCAAGCATCATCCTTGCCTTTTCCTCTCTCGTTCCCATGGCAGCAAGGGCCTGGCGCCACACCTGAAGCAGGTGATGGGGCCGTGGTGGGTGGCGCAGTTTGACTCCTCCCGTGACGTCGCTGCTGCCGCCTCCCTCTCCTTCCAGGTGCGTCACAGGCTTACCAGCTTTCGTCTCCTCCTGCTGCCCACCCTGCTGCCCACCCTGCTGCCCACCCTGCTGCCCATCCTGCTGCCCATCCTGCTGCCAATCCTGCTGCCCATCCTGCTGCCCATCCTGCTGCCCATCCTGCTGCCCATCCTGCTGCCCATCCTGCTGCCCATCCTGCTGCCCATCCTGCTGCCCATCCTGCTGCCCATCCTGCTGCCCATCCTGCTGCCCATCCTGCTGCCCATCCTGCTGCCCATCCTGCTGCCCATCCTGCTGCCCATCCTGCTGCCCATCCTGCTGCCCATCCTGCTGCCCATCCTGCTGCCCATTCTGGTGCAGCCGCTGTGCACTCCTCATCCATCCCGCACTTGTCGCCTCCTTCTTCTCCCCCCCTCCCTCCTCCAGACAGCCTTCCCCACGCCCACACGGCGAGTGGAGGCGCTGGCATTCGCGGGGGAGGCGGTGGTGGGCGCGCTGGCAGAGCTGCTGGCCGCCACCCCGCAGTCGCTGGCTGCTGCCGACCGCTCGCTCAGCGTGGAGGAGGCCAAGCACCGCCTGGACGAGGTGCGATGCGGTTGGAGGAGGTGGGATGCGATAGCCATTGCAGAAGTGTTCCGTTCATTTATCTTACCCATTATTGTTCCAACCATTCGCTTATCAATATACCCCCTCCTCCCCCCGCCCCCGCCCTTCCTCCACCTGCTCCCATCCGCGCCTGCCCCCATCCTCTGCCCGCCCACCCCCCCTGCGTGCAGCTGCTGTGCGCAGCTCTGCTGGCGCTGAGGGCGCTCCTGCAAACCCTGCTGCCGCCACGGCCACTCAGAGGGGCTGCTGCTGGCGCTGCGACCGCAGGTGGGGAGACAGCAGCAACAGCAGGAGCAGGTACAGCAGCAGCAGGGCCAGCAGGAGAACCATCAGCAGTAGAATCAACGGCAGCGGCAGCGGCAGCTGCGCCAGCAGCCCTGCCCCCGTCTGTGGTGGCAGCCCAGCCGCGCATGGCAGCGTCGCTGCTCTCCTCCCTGCGCGCCCTCTCCTTCCTCCGCGCCCTCGCCAAACACCCCTCCCCCCGCGTGCGCTCCGCAGCCTACCACACGCTGCCAGCTGTCCTGCTCTCATTGGGGCCGCAGGGGCAGGAGCAGGAGGGAGTGGTGACGAGTAGCGGGAGGGGGGGCAACCAGGAGGGAGGGGGGGGCGGAGAGAGGTGGGAAGTTGAAGTGGAGGTGATGGGGGAAGCGGAGGTGGTGGAGAAGGTGGGGCCAGTGGTGGCAGCAGCCATGGGGGAGAAGGTATCCGCATGCCATGGCGCCATGTGGGAGCTGGTTCTGGTGGCATCACGCACCTGCCCCTCCCTCTGGGCCAACCCTTCCTTTCTTAAATCCGCTCTGCCGAAGCTCTGGGTTTTTCTCCAAGCCGGGTGTTTAGGCTCGGCAGCGCAGTCGTACCCATGCCTGCTGCCGCTGCTTTCGGTGTTCTTCCGAGCCAGGCTGCACCAATCACAGGGCGTGTTGGTGCCTTTTTTTACGAGCCTTTGGCAGGGACGGCTTGTCCACATGGCGCGGCCTGATTGGCTGGCGCTGCTGACGTGTGTGAGGGAGTGCTTGGTGCTGAGTGTGGTGCAGCTGAGGCGAGAGGAGGGGAGGGCAGTGGGGGAGGAGGAGGTTGGGGGAGGGGAGCAGAAGGAGGGTGGGAGAGAAGGACAGGTAATCTACGCTGGAGAACTAGTGAAAGTGGTGTTGTGGGATTTATGCTTCCTAGACCTCCTTCCCGAGCCCAGGAACACTGGTTCGGACCTAGGCTCGGATTCTCATGGTCCAGAGAAGACAGAGGGCACTGGTGGAAAGGCCGAAGGGGGAAGGGGCGGGGTGGCAGCGGGTGAGAGGAAGGGCGGGAGTGCATGGCTGGGAGCGGTGGTGGCGTGTGTGGGAGAGACAGTGAGGCAGATAGTGCAGGTGGAGAGGGGAAAGGGGTGGACGGGGGGCGGAGGAGAGGAGGCGCAAGAGCTGGGGAGGGGTGAGGCGCCGAGAGGGTCTGTTATGGACGGCTTCTGGTCGTGCGTGTTGGATGCCGTGCTGTCTGCTGTTGATGGCCCCACTGCTACTGGTGTGCCTCCTCCTGTTGATGCTGCCAAGAAGGAGAACACAGGGGAGTGTGAAGTGGCGCTGCTGAGGCGAGCACTCGCAGGGAGCGCTGCTGCTGATGGTGGTCATAACACAAGCAAGCGCACTAGCGACGGCAGCACAGTGCAAGCAGTTCTGTCACTGCTGAAGCAGCTCAAGCCGACAGCAGCAGCTGCAGCAGGGCCTGCAGGAGTGGCATCAGCAGCAGCAGGCGGTGTGAAGGGCAGTGGCGAGCGTATGGAGTGGGTGGTGCCTGCAGTGGTGTCTCCTCTCATGCACCGACTGCTGCCCCTCGCGCTGCCCCTCCCCCTCCCGTCCTCTCCCCTCCCCTCTTCATCCTCCCCCGCTCGCATGGAAGCGGCAGCAGCCATGGCGGCGGCACTTGTCGACATGTTTGGAGCACCAGCCATCCCGTGCCAGCTGGCGGCGCATGACTCGACGGACAGTGCAGCTACCGTGGCTCGCAGTGGCACGACTCCCCTGCAGCTGCTGGACTTGCTGCTGGCAGACACGGAGGTTGGGGCAGGAGAGGGAGCAAGTGGCAGGGCGGATGGCAGGGCTGTGTCTGTTCTGCAAGTGAAGCTCCTCTCGCACCTCGCCCTGCTCCCTCCGCCACACAGCACCATCACCACCACCATCACCACTAGCAGCAGCAGTGCAAGCAGCATAGGTGGAAGCGAATCAGGGGCAGCAGAAGGCGAGAACTGCCTGTCGCTCATCGTGCAGCGGCTGTGCACTGCTGCACTCCACCCAGCCAAGCAGAGCGAGGCAGAGGCAGGTGGGGGTCATGGTGGAGGCTCCTCCTCCCTCAACATGCCCGCTTGCCTCCTCGCTGCTCTCCTCTCCTCGCTCTCCGCCCCCTCCCCTCCCCTCACCGCCGCGGCCAGCACCGCTCTTGACCGCTTGGCCATGCACGTGGTTGCATCCATGCCGCTGCTGCTCCTCCCCTCCTCCCAATGGCTCCTCCGAACGCTCCTCTCTCCGCCTCCTGCTGCTCCCACGCCCCTCTCTGTCCCCTCCTCGCGTTCCTGGCTGTCGCCCTCCTGCCTTGCCTCGGTCTATGCCTCTCTGCATTCGCACCTGCTTTCTTCCCTCCTCGTGCTCTCCTCCTCTCCGTCCCTCCACACTCTCGGTCTCATGCTACAGCCACTGCTGCTGCTGGTGAGGCGAGAGGGAGGTGTGGGGGGAGAAGGGGTGGAAGTAGGAGCATTGGAAAAGCCAGACTCAGAAGGAGGAGGTGAGGGGGATGCCACGTCAGCACAGGCCGAGCTGGCAGCATGCCTGGACGTCCTGGAGCCCCTGTGGCTCGCCTCCCATGTGTCTGCCAGCAGCGCAGGCTCTGCTGAGCTGTCGTGTGGTGATTTGCTGGCGGTGGTTGCTGCTTGCTCGTCTTACCTTGTAAGCTGGTGCCTGGGGGAAGGGGAGGCAGACAAGGGAGAACAGGCAGGGAGTGAGGAGGAGAGTGACGATGAGGAGGAGGAAACGAAGGAGGATGGGGACGAGGAGGGGGAGGGAGAGGAGGGGTTGGAGTTGGAAGAAGAAGAGGAGGGGGGAGGTGGAGGGGCATCAGGGGAAGGGTACATGGAAAAGGTTCTGGGAGGGGGTGGAGCAGCAGTGGCGGTAGGAGCAGCAGGAGCAGCATGGGGTGCAGCAGGGGTTGAAACGGGTGTGTGGGCAGGTGGGACAGGCGCTGTAGAAGGGAGTGAGACTGCACGGCTCGCATCCGCGGGTGCTCACATGGCAGGGCCTGTGGTGGTAACTGTGTTACCAGCTCTGCTTTCTGCAGCTAACCAATGGGTCTCGCTCCTCTCACACCCTCCATCTAGCAGTCACTCCACCACCACTGACTGCACTACCACCACTCACACCACCCATGCGCCATCAGCCACCCTCACTAACCCTATGCCAGTAGCTACCCTCACTGCACGCCTGCTCACTCGCTCTCTTGCCACTGCTGCTGCTTCTCCTCTCTCCCACTGCCGCCCACACCTCTGTGCGCGCTGGGCGGCGGATCTTGTCCGTTTCTTCCAGCTGCAAGGCGGGAAGGAGGCGGCGGAGAGGCGTGTGATTGGGTGGATTCTGGCCGATCTCGAGTTGATGGGTGGAGGGGAGCAAAAATGGCCTCGATTTGTGGGTCACTTTCCTGACTCTTCTGTCACGGCTGGTTCTCGTGACAGTGGTACGACAGGGTACAGTCACATTGACAGCATCATCAACGCACTGCCGCCTCCTCCTCATCTCTCCTCCGCAATTTCGCAACCCCCCTCACACCTCCTCTCCTCCCGCCTCCTCCACTTCCTCTCTCACCTCACTCACCTCCTTGGCCCATCTGCCGTTTTCTTCTGCCCAGCGGGCGGCGGGCGGGCGGCACTGGCAGTTGAACTGATGTGCGCCTGGCAAGAGGAACACTCTCTGCGCCACCACCATCACTCCACCGTCACGCCACATGGCGGCCTCTCATTGGGCGGGCTTGACGGCGATGTCCTTGGGATTGGGCCAGCAGTGGTGGCGGAGCTGATGGTGGGGGCAGCACGGCAGGTGGGGGAGAAGGAGGCGGAGGTACAACAAAGTGTGGAGGGAGGGGCAGAGGTGGGAGCAGGAGTGAGAGGAGCAGTAGAGGGCAGAGCGGAGGGAAGGCTTGTGAGCGAGGTGGTGAGTGTGTTGGTGCAACTGGCGTCCCAGGAAATCGACCCTGCTCGTGCCAGTGCTGCCACCGCCACTGCCACACATGCATCATTGGCTCTCAAGGCACTCTGCGGGCTTCTCAGAAGGTTCCTTGCAGCAGGGGCGTGGGGCCCATGGCAGGCATGGCAGGTGGTGCAGCAGCAGGTGGCAGCACTGAAGGATGAGAGAGAGGGCCGTGGCAACTCTTCCCATGGAAATGCCGGGAGTGGGGGAGGGCGTGGGAGAGTGCGAGTGGTGGCAGAGGTGGTGGGGATACTGATGCCTGTGGTGCGGTGGGGCGGGCAGGCAGGGGGGCGAGCCGAGGCAGCAGGGGGAGGTGCAGCAGCGGGTGGGGAAGGAGGATGGAGAGGGGCGTTGGAGCAGCAGGTGGATGAGGAGGTGGTGTGGTGGGTGCAGCGAGCCAATGAGGCGCTGCCACTTGTCGCATGTGTGGAGCAGCAGAGTGCAGAGGCAAGAGGTGAGTGGTGGCCTGACGGTTAGTGCATCTCATGGTGCCTCACAACTGCCTCGCTATTGCCACATTGCCATGCACCACACCACACTGTGCCACATGCGCGCGTCCCTGACCACATGGGCATCAGCATTCACAATCCGTTCTGCTCCTCCCCTACTGCTATCCAAAGTCCAGCTATCTCCTTCTCCTTTTCCACCCCCTGCCCCTATCCATCCCCCTTCCCCCCAATCTGTGCAGACTCGCTCGCTCTCCACGCCCTCGCCTTGGCGCTCTTCCCCATGCCACCATCATCTGGTCCCTCTTCCACCCCTCTCCAAGCCCACTCCTCCGCCACCACCAGCAGCCCCTCCCAGCGCGCCGCCCTGCTCGCCCTGCTGCGCCTGCAGACCTCCCGCCACGCCACTGCTGCCGTCGCTGCCGCTGCCGCCGCCTCCCGCCTCGCCGCTGCCGCGTCTGCTGGGGATGCAGGCAGCGTGGGGCCCGGGGAGACGAGCAGTGCTCTGAGCAGTGCTCTGAGCAGTGCTCTGAGCAGCGTGGGTAAGATGAGGCATGCTGGGGGTGTGAGTGCGGACGTGGGAGGGGGGGACGAGTTGGATGATCTAGACGAGCTTGATGAATTGGATGAGCTGGATGCGGATGGCGGCGGTGATGCAGGTGGCAGTGATGACGTGCTATTTGACGAGCTTGATGAGCTGAACGAGGAGGAGGAGCAGCAGAGCGGTGGGAGGGATGGAAGGCCGGTGCAGGTGCAGAGCAGTGCCAGTGGTGCAACCAGTAACAGGGAGGCATTGCAGCAGCAGCAGGTGGGGGTCGAGGAAGCATGGGAGAGCACACAGGAAAGCAGGGAGGAGTGGGTGGCGCACGTGAATTGCTGCCTCCTCGCCCTCGCCAGCACAGCAGTGGCGTACAGCTGGCAGGAGATGGCGGAAGCTGACGTGGCGTTTGTGGGCGGCAGGCTGCGGCGGGCGCTGGCAGCAGCAGCCATGGCGTTTGAGGAGCTGGTGGAGGGCATGGGGGAGGGGGTGGGGGAGGAAGAGGATGGGAATAGGAGAAAATCAGGAAAGAGGCAAGCAGGGGAGGGGCAGGCAGGGGATGAGCAGGGGAGGGTGAGTGGCATGGCACGGCGGCTGGAGGCCATGCCGTTGGACGTGGCAGGTGCTGCCCTCTCACTGCTCTCCATGCTGCTCGCCCTCCACTCCCACGCCTCTGCTGCCTCCGCTGCCACCAGCAGCATCTTCTCACTCTGGTCGTCAGCCGCTGCATCGGCGTCCCCCTCCTCGCTCTGGTCATCAGAGGCATGTGCAGGGGTGGTACGGCAGGGGTCAGAGCACGCCTTGCGCATCTTCATTGCTACAGGCCTAGCAGACGCGGCTGTCCCTCACAGCACCGTCGCCAGCAGTGCAGCCAGCAGCGTTCAGAGCAGCCAGCCCATGACAACCTGGCGCCTGCAGCATCCACTCTTCTTCCGCCAGCTGTCGCACGCAGTGCTTGCCGCTCCCCCTCGGGCGGTGGAAGCAGCGGTGCGGGCAGCGGAGATCTGGGGGGCGGGGCGAGGGCCAATTGCAGGGCTGTATGCGCTCATGTGCGGCCCGTCGCCAGGTGGCAGCGTGCGATTGGCTGCATTCTGGTGTCTTTCTAGGGAGCAGGTATTGCCTGCTGCTGTGGGGGCAGCGGTGGTGAGGGGCGGAGGAGACGGGGAGACACATGGAGAGCCAGTTGGTGATGGCGTCAGACCTGAGCTGGCTCACATTCTGCAGCCAGCCAATCGGAAGGAGTTGCTGACGTCAGCTCTGACGTCATCGCAGCGGGTGCGGTACTACCTGGCAGCTTGTCTTGTGCTGCACCGCATCCAATCCCTCCCCACCTCACCCCCATCCCCACCTCCCTCCACCGCAACCGCCTCTGCCGCATCGCCATCCTCCCCTCGTGACCGCCTCATCTCTTTCATCCTAGCCACTCCCACTCTCACTCTCCTCCTCGACCTCGTCTCTCAAAACCTCCTCCTCGCCCCCTCTCCCTCACACTCCTCCGCCTCTGCACGTCGCCTCATCCATCTCAACCCCTCAGGACCCCTCCCCCCTGCGGTAGCCCAAGCTGGGGACTTTGCCACACGTGCAGTTGCCCAGGCCTCGCCTCTGGACGTCGCACTGGAAGTTTTAACCCTGTCCGGGGCAGGCAAATTATCGGTGCCACGCATGCGCAGCCTGGCAGCAGCGGTGTTTGGGGCAGCGCTGCGAGTGGTGCCAGGGGGGGTGAGGCGGTGGTATGCGGATGTGAGGGAGATGGGAGTGCGGCGGGGCATGGACATCTTCACTGCCCGATACTGCAGCGCTCACATGATCTCCCTCGAACTCGCCCAGGTATGCATTCTCTCCCTCTCTCTCACCTCTCCTCTCTCATCTTCTCAAACCATGTTCATGAAATACCACGCTCCCAGCGACACTCCTTCCTTCGTACCTCTCCTGAATCTTCCCAGCCACGTCCCATTCTGCTGTCGCTTCCCTTCCTCCGTCAAACCCCCCCCCCCCCTCCCCAACCAGGCGCAGAAGGCGGGCGGCAGCAAGGAGGACCTGACGGTGCGCACACGGCGGTCAGCACGCGAGGTGTGGGCGGTGTACTGCAAGGACGAGGCCAAGCTGGAGCTTGTCATCAAGCTGCCCGAAAGCTACCCGCTGCGAGGGGCAGCTGTCGAAAGTTCCAAAGGGGCAGGCGTGAAAGAGGCCGAGATGCGCAAGTGGCTGTTGGCTGCTAACTCGTTCCTGCTGCTGGGAGGGGGGTCGGTGGCAGATGCGGTGGTGCAGTGGTGCGAGTGTGCAGAGAAGAAGTTTGAAGGGGTTGAGGATTGCCCCATCTGCTACAGTGTCATCCACTCGTCCAATGGCAGCCTGCCACGTCTGCAGTGCCGCACGTGCAAGCACAAGTTCCACCCCGAGTGTCTGTACCAGTGGTTCCAATCCTCCCACAAGTCCACCTGCCCGCTCTGCCAGACATCCTTCTAGCTTCAGCTGCTCGCCTGGCGTCATTGTGTTTGAGATTTCGGCCGGGAGTCAGCAGCAGGGGTCAGCAGCTTTGGGATGAGCCTTGCCTGCTTTTCTTTCTGGCTTCTTAGCCTCTAGACGCATACCCAGTCTCCCATCGAGCTTCTTGGTTAGATGGAGGTTCTCTTAAAATAAAAACGTTGTGCCGTGTTATATAGGCAAGAGGAGGTACTGCAACGAAGGCAGCAGGCAATGCTACATATTTACAGACACTTCCAGCATAGGCATGAGAATTGCCCCACTGGGCTCAATGATGACAGCGTAACACAACTTCGGACTACAAAAACATCAGGTGGCCAGCTCGCTTCAAGAAGGCGAGAAGAGAATCTGGAATTGCTTCACCTTCTGAACGTAGTTGACCATCGCGACCTCGATGCTAAGGCCTGCGGGGGGGCGAACGAAATAGTCAGGACTGACTGGCATGGATGGAATGGCACATTCATGGACGTCAATCCATGCATGAATCCACTGAAGTTTCGCTCTTCAGGGGTCATGGACTCGATGCAATGCAATGCAAGCTGACCTGCGAAGTCGCGCCAAGCCTGAAGTTTCTCGCGGTCGTCAGTGTCCACGTCCTCTTCTGAACCTGCACAGCATTCCGTGTTAACGTCAGCTCTGTTTCTAACAGCACGATATCTGAATAGAAGACGACGGAATGAGCAGACAAAACTTCAAGTTGTGACTATTGTGAGTAAACACTGCCTACGAAGTTTAGAGACGTCTAAGCGACTGACAACCTAGAAGCGAGACCTTGGTCGCAAAATGCAAAAACGAACGAAAGCCGTACACGAAGTGATGCTTCCTGCAGTCGCCTGCTTGTACAGCCCATAGAGAACCAGCTGGTACGACGGTGCTAGTGCTGGACTCAGCTGCTTCGCCGCCTCAACAGACGCAAGGAAATCGGCCTGAATGGACGAACACACGTCAGTGAGAAGCCGCGTCACGCAGCAGGGACAAAAGGAGAACGAACGGAATCACGCTGCGATACATCATACGCTACCATGCGCTTTATGTACCTCAAGGCTCAGGTCGCATGCTGCCTCCGTGAATGGCTCGGCCCGACAGGCCAACGCATGCGGAACGGCAGGCGACTCCCACCGTTCGCGGACATATGCTGCCATAAGTCCAACCCTAGATAACGATGCTCCACAGCGTAGCCCTCAATCCTTACAGCATGAGTGAAATCGGCTGTCAAAACTCGCAAGCATTCCTGGAAACAACGTAACTACAACGGACATGCTAGAAGCAACGCATGCAATTTTGGCTGAAAGATAATTTTTGGGTGAGCTGGGCTTGCATGCGCGAAAACCTGTGTCGAATGGCGCGAAACCTCCTCTTATCAGGCTGGCTCACCTCGAAAGTGACGGAATGATGGCACAATCCTGAAACTTCTGCAGTGTACTTCGCTCGTGCTATTTGGCGAAAAAAATCAATAAATGCAACTAGCAAATAGTAAACCACATAACTGCTCCAACATGGGATACCAGCGCTGTGTCCCTTTCCCCTAGCTTCCATGCTCAGAAAGAGGAAACTCTCTTAGTCCCACTTCTCGAGGGAGACTACAGGGGCCTCACACATACGAGCACAGACATGCGCCAGCATATATGCGGCATTATTCAATGAGTGAAAACTTCACACGCCTCCCTGACATCCTCGGGTCTTGCAGCAATCCAGGAAACATGGGTGGTTTCGCACCATAGTCCAGAACAGAAGAGTAACTCACAACGCTACCAAGACTGCTGGTGGTGGTGCTGTAAGCAGCTGTACTGGTACTGCGAGGGCTTCTAGATGGGGCGGAAGGAGCACTAGTTTGGGGAGGAGCCACTGCCGCGCTGGAGCTCTCAAGTACCCACATTTGGCCCACACGCTCTTTCGGCGAGGTGACTTTCTTTGGAGACGATGGGCCATATTCACCTACGCTCGCAGAGTGCGGAAGCCCAGTCGGTGCGTGCTCCTGCGCCTTGGAACCACATGCACTGAGGTCGCTCTCCGACCGACAGGAGGGAATCCTGCGTGAAGCAGATGCGCTGACCTTGATGTTGCCGCTGCTCCTTCTCCCCCCCTGCTTGCTTGGCTCCTGGTCCGTTGCTTCCTCGTTGTTGGACCTCGTCTCGGCGCTGCTTCCTGTGCTGTTGAGGCAGTTGCACGTGCTGCTCATGCTCACGCTCCTTGAAAGCACACCGTCGGGGGTCACATCGTGCTGGTGCTGCCGCATGCCCATCATCCATGCTTGATGCTGCACCTTCATCCTCTCGCTCTGCACCTCTTGTGCCGCCTGCTTCGCCGCATCCTTGACGATCCTCTCCTTATCTTTCTGCAGCGCTTCCCTCTCCCGCTTCAACTCCTCTCGCTCCTTCCTCACCTCCTCCCTCTCCTTCCCCACAGCCTCCCTTTCCTGTGCCAACACTGCTCGCGACCACTCCAGCGACACTCGGGTCCTTTGCGCTGACGCACGTTCCTCCTTTTGCTTTGCCGCTGCCACGTCATCAGCCTGGGACCACGCTTTCAGCACCGCTTCCAGCTCCTTCGCCAAGTCGTCTCGTTCCGACGCCAACACGCGGGCGGCTGCTGTGGCTTCATTCGCTGTGCGCTCCGCTGAGCGCAAAGATTCTGCACAGAGAAAAGAAAAACAGAAACGACACGAGTAACGAAGAGTAAGAAACCACCCAAAGAGGATTGCACAACAATCGACTTTACTGATTCTAGACGCTGAGTTTGAGTCGTCCAAAAGCGCGTGTCGAGCCCCGTCATGATGTTCCGGACTCACCAGAGAGCAACTTGTTGATTCGCACGCATCGTTCCAGCTGCGTCCTCAGATCGTCAATCTCGCGACGCAGCCGTCTCATCGACACCGACCCGGCGTCCGAATCCTCCTCGTCATCCGTCGCTTCGTTTCGGGCCGTTGTCGCCGTGTCCTCGTCCTTCAAACGGGTTTTGCGGGAGAGGGTGCGCTCCGACGGATCCGACGCCGCGACGCGCGACAGGGATCGGCCTCGGGACGATGCGTTCCCCTGGATCGCTTTAGGAGAGGAAGCAGAGGAAGCAGAGGAAGCGGAGGAAGCGGAGGAAGCGGAGGACGTAGAGGAAGCGGGAGAGGTTGGGATTGTCGCGTTCGTACTTGCCGAGTCGCGTGCCACACGATCGCTAATGCTGCGGATCATCGCCTTTGCGCCACCCTCCTTACGGCTCTGCGCTCCCTCGCGACCCGCATCTGCCGCTTTAAGAGGGAACTCCCTCGACCAGTTATCACGGCTCTTGGATTCACGGTTGTGTATGTCGCTCTTTGCGCCGTGCGTTCCGCTGGTTCCTTGAGACGCACCCTTTTCCGGCGTGCGGACTCTCGGCGTCGCCGCGTCCACCGCCCCGCCTCTGTCACCCACCAGGAGCCGCATCGCGAGGCGCCGAGGGAGGTCGCGAGGCGACGCGGATCCGTTACTTGAAGCAGCGTCGCGCGGAATCATTTGAAGGGAACGGCGACTGGATTTCATGGCTGAAGGAGTGCTTGCGGGTGGCGACATGGGGGACAGCGTGCTCCGCGGGGAGTGGAGAGGTGGAACAGAAACGCTGGGGAGGGTTTTGATAAAGCGGGAGAGCGAGTCGGAGAGGAACGAGTCAGTGGACGACGATTTGCGATGGGACCTGATCGGAGACAACCGATCTATGCTGGCCATGTCAGTTACCCCTGTAAGGAAATGTATTTGAATACCACTACACCCAACGGTGGAATGGATGGGATTGATCATCAGGGAAGCGGCCAAAGCAACGAGTAGGCAGAGCAGCACAACGAGGTGGAAGAGGATGAGACGAATGGGCGCTGTAGAATGCTGAGTTCAAATCTCAAAACCTTGTCCAAATGGGCACCCTTGACGTGGCTCGGTGGTTCGCTCAACAAGGAGTGAGTAGTGGGATGGGGAGGGATGGGAGAGGGTTGCATAACATCACATAGGTATGAAGAATGCAAGAAGAATGCAGCTGCGACAAGAAGATTGCAATGCAAGCAACTGCCACTGCGAATCTGCGATGCTTGCCATCCCTGATGGCGGCTCGAAAGTCGCGCCTCCATCGCACTGCTTCCAAGTTCCACTTCGTCGCTGCGCTTCGATCACTTGCGCTTCCCTGGGCTTTCCGCCTTCCTTCTCCCTCTCCTCCCCATCGATCCGCCTCCTCCCCCGCTCGCCACCCCAAGATCACCCGTAAGTCAATCTATACGGGCAGTCACAAAAGGTTTGAGATTATCATATTGACTGTTCAAATAGTCGGGGTACACAACCCAGTTGTCAGGTCGTCTCTCCAGCAAGTGTCAAGAGGGGCTAGTGTCATGACACCAACTCGAAAACACATGGAGGACTATCCCTCCTGGTGTCAGCTAAACCAACCAATGAGATCGCGGGAAATCGTCCAATGTGCCCAACATTGACACCAGGCTGGAGCCGCGCTCACACGCGGCTCCACTTGGTGTCAACCGTAAACAACGCTTGACACCAAGCCTTTCTTGACACTTGCTGGAGAGACGACCTCAGTTGTTACTGCCAGAATTTCTCACATGCTGACGAACTGTCAAAAGTCCCAAAGTTCTTGTGACTGCCCGTTTGATTGAAATATGAACTGGTCAGGGAGCGCCACCTCGAAAGTGACGGAGTGCCGTGAAGCACTGGAAGCTGTACAAGTGTTAAGGAAATTCCCTTTTCCTTACTTCGCGTCCCTGCTCAACGCGTACATCACTGTAGCACCTCAGTCAGCACCGTTACCACTCGCGACCATCGCATCATTCATCATCCCGCCCTTTTTGCACATCGCATCCCGACCTCACGGCTCGGCTGGTAACCCGCGCTCCGGGCCTACGCTTCGACACTTTCCCAACCTCAGTCCCAGGCTCGTCGCGCGACCATTACCGTTACCACTATAGTTTCGCTATATATTCTTCGCTCATGCCTTCGCTCATTTGTATTCCTTGCTTCGATAGTGCAATTCTCGTTCGTTCACTCAATTGCACTCGTAACACTTGGTATTCAGAGCCTACGATCTCATCTCGGACCGCACCCACACCTTCGCTTCCCACTATCTCAAATTTTGGGGGGGGTAGACGTCTCTCAGCGACACAGCACCGCCGCTCGTAGTGCTCTCTCGAAAGCACGCACGGCCACGACCGAGGCTCTCGCTGAGCTTGCCCGACACCCCCGCCATGGCCGATTTCAATCTCGCCACGTTGACGCAGGAGCAACTCGATCGTCTCGTGCGTCAATTGGAGGATTCGGCGCTCGAAATCGCGACTCTCACGGCGGAACGTGACTCCACCCGTCAACAGTCAACGGTGAACGTACCGACGACATCACACGCACCAACCAATGCATCTGCACATTCGGAGGAGCCCATCGTCATCTCATCCGGCACACCAACGCAACACAACAGCACGGGACAGCGCTCAGGCGCAGCCAGTGACGGCGCAGCCCAACCGATGCCCGGCATGGGAGGGAACAGGAGCGCATTAAGCCCACGGGAGCCCCGAGAAGCCCGTCGGCACATGGAGTTTGCGGCGACAAGTGGCGAGAACGCCGTGATGGCCCCAATGCCACTCAAGCCGCAACGCCCGCCCTGCTTCGACCCAAGCCAACGCGGCGGCCCGACAGTTCAATCGTGGGTCTTCACGATGAATGTGTTTTTCGACGCCAACTACGTCAAGTCGGACGCCGCCAAGATCCGGTATGCGGTTTCACTACTCAGGGGCCCCGCCATGGACTGGTGGCGAGTCATTGTGACGTCGCCGCGCGCCTACGAGCCACCGTCGCACGAGGAAGGGCCCTCGGGTCCAGCTGTTACCTGGAGTTCGTTCTACGAAACCGCCCAATACAGCACGTGGGATGCGTGGTGCGCAGGGCTTCGGGCGCGCTTTGAGCCGATCGCGGCCTCGATTTCGGCGCGTCAGAAACTGCGCACTTGGCGCCAGCTCGGGTCAGTTCAAGACTACACCAGCGGGTTTCTCGCACTTTGCGAACAGGTCGGCTACATGCACGAGGCGGAGCGGGTGGACCGTTACGTCGGAGGGCTGAAGCCGGACATCTCGCACGAGATAATGCTACGCGGGCTCTCGAATTTCAACGAGATCCTCGCGCTCGCCGAGAAAATCGATATCCTACGACGACCGAGACCGGGGTCCTATTACAGACATCGTCCTCGGGGACCGACCGAGCACGCCACTGTACATGCCGTCGCAGCGGATGCAGCTGCCGCGCCGTTTAGAGGGCGCTGCTTTGCTTGCAACCGGCCGGGCCATCGCAAGAGCGAATGTCCAGAGGAGCTGAGGCGTAAAGGAGCAGAGCAGGGGAGGGAGTCTCGGAGGCAGGGAAACGCCAGCAGTCAGTAGAAGTTGGGCCAACTACTGACGAGACTGCCTGCTCGCCCAACCACACCGACCCTCACCGAGTCACAGTACCGATTCACGCCATCGATCGGGCTCGGATGAATAAGGAGGGTATGTCAGAACATTATAGCTTACTTATTTGTGTAGGCTATAGTGGGGTATACCATAGGGGGTACAACCCAATTAGGGTTTCATATTTGTACTCACTTCATTCATAGTTCATCCATTCTCGTTCGCTTCTTGTCATGGAATCAGAGCAGGTTCCCCTGTGGGAACTGTGCTTAGGGCCCACCACTTAGAAATTTTTTTTTTCTGCCCTAGCGCCTTGCGCCCTAGCGCCTACCCTAGCGCCCGCCCTAGCGCCCGCCCTAGCGGCCGCCTTAGCGCCCGCCCTAGCGCCTGCCCTAGCGCCCTAGCGCCCGGCGCCCGCCCTAGCGCCCGTTCGCCGCCCGCGGCCTGTCCGTGCGCTGCCGCCCGTGCGCCGCCGCCCGTGAGCGCCGCCCGTGAGCGCCGCCCGTGAGCACCGCCCGTGAGCGCCGCCCGTCAGCGCAGCCGCCCGTCAGCGCAGCCGCCCGTCAACCGCCGCTGGTGCGCCGCCGCCCGTGACGCCGCCGCCCGTGAGCCGCCGCTCGTGAGCCGCCGCCCGTGAGCCGCTCGCCCGTGAGCCGCCCGCCCGTGAGCCGCCCGCCCGCGAGCCGCCCACGACGCCGATGCCGCCGACGCCGCCGACGCCGCCCGTGCACCGCCGACGTCACCCGTGAGCCGCCGACGCCGCCGACGCCGCCCGTGAGCCGCTGACGCCGCCGTCGCCGCCGACGCCGCCCGTGAGCAGCCGACGCCGCCCTCGAGCCGCCCGTGCAGCCGCCCCAGCCGCCCGTGAGCCACCCGCGAGCCGCCCCAGCCGCCCGTGCTGTCACCCGCAAGACGCCCGCGCCGCCCGAGCCGCCCGCGCCGCCCGAGCCGCCCGAGCCGCCCGAGCCGCCCGAGTCGCCCGAGCCGCCCGAGCCGCCCGAGCAGCCTGAGGTGTCGGCCTCCTGTTCCTGTGGGGGCTGCTGCTGCTCCTGGGCCGCCGTAGCTGCTGTGCTGCTGTGTGGCTGTACTCCTTAGCTACCCGACTCTTCCCGCCCGGTGAGACTGTCAGCTGCTATAATGGCCACCCCCAGTGTCCTGTCGTTTGACGCTGAGGGTCGCGCCGTTGACTTTGCAGTCTGGGTCGAGGACCTGCAGCTGTACTTACTGTGCGATGCGATCGATGAGGTTTCTCTCTTTGACTTTGTCTCTGGCGCTGTCCCTGCCCCTCCTGCTGATGCTGACCCCTCTGTTCGCTCCAAGTGGGCCACGCGCGATGCTGCTGCACGTCTTGCTGTGCGTCGCCACCTCCCTTCCTCCGAGCGTGCACACTTTAGTCAGTGCAAGACCGCTCAGGCCTTGTACGACGCTGTAGTTGCGCGCTACTCCTCCCCTTCCTCCGCTACGCTGAGCCGCCTCATGCTACCGTTCCTCTTCCCTGACCTCGTTGCCTTTCCCACAGTCGCTGACCTCTTTACCCACCTCCCCGCTAGTGACACTCGCTACCGCGCTGCGCTTCCTGCTGAGTTCCGCGCCGCAAACCCTCCTCCCATGTACATCACTCTCTACTTTCTAGTCACCCGTCTCCCTGAGTCCCTTCGTGCCGTTAGGGACCAGTTTCTCTCTGTCTGTCCCACCACCCTCACTGTCGACCTCCTTGAGAAGTCCCTGCTAGCGGCTGAGAAGAGTATCGTCGCTGTAGGGGCCTCTCGTGGTGACCCTCGCACCCTCATC